TATGGCTTCACTTGTTCCAAATTGTTCCAAGTTTTTTTTGCTCGAGTAGCTTGATCAGAACAACATCTAGTTGGTAGCGCACCGATTGAACCAACTATTTTTGAAAGATTTTTATAGTCCGAGAAATATCTCACCTTTGAACATATTTGGTAAAATTATGCGGATTTTTATAATTGCTTATTTGTTAATTTTCTAATTTTTTTCAGCGCATAGCGTATTCGGTGAATTAATCCGGCTCAGAAAACATTCCAAATTGATAGTTTAGACTAGCAAATATTAAGTTAATAGACGCAACGTTTACCCACGTTAGGTCCACCTAATTGATTTTCCGAACGCTCCCGTAGCTTTATAAATAAACCCTTTATAAACCCTATTATGACCAATAATTTTGCGACGCAGGCAAAATTTTGAAAAAAAAAACAGGTCAAAAATGCCGTTCTCCCCTTGAAAATTGGTTTAAATTGGCATCTAAGGCGCCTCAAGAAAAATTTTAGGGTTGGTCGGCCTAAAATGGATGTCATAAAATAATACCAAAGCGGGGGACCCTTTGGTTGGTGAGAGGAGAGAGATGTCCACCACCCACGCCTCATCTACATCCGCCCCTGGCATGAAATAAAACGATTAGCAAAAGCGGCAATTCTTGAAGTGAAATTTTGATAAATATTGAAACCATTCTGTTAAATTCTCTTTTCTAAAATCATTATAAAGCTATCAATATAAAGATTTTTTTAGTAGTATTCGCATTGGCAAATTGTCGAAGACTGAAGCTGCTTCACTCATTTGGGTTTGTTTTAAAACATTATTGAAAGACCTAGATTTTTTTTAACCTAAAAGCATGTTACGTACTCAAAATCTAATTACCGCAATTTTAAGCTTTGACTGAGTTTCATGAATAGTTCTCGTTAATTTTTCTCGGATGAATAATAGCTTGTCATTTTGCATCCGGTTTTTTACCGTTTGGACAATACCCTTAAATGCTAAGGTAGTTTTAAGCGAAACGGGAATGGTACATTATCATTATTTTTCTGCCGTTTTGAGATAGCTTGATTACTGCTTTTTCTTTAATTTCGAGCTTTAATTGAAGTTTTATATACGGATAAGTGCGCACTGTATGCTCTTGTGGTAAGGCGGAAGTAATCAGCTAATAGTTATCGGCTCTTCCTTGTAACATAGATGCTGCTGTCATCATGAAAATGAGCGGACATACAATTCTTTTTAGACTTACCTTTGATCAAAATCGTCCAATTGTGGCTCTGGGCCCAATTTTGCTTTGATTATTCTGCTTTCATTTATAAATTCTGCCGTGGAGTTGTTTTTAAACGCATTTGGCAAATGTTTTTTTGTCTTTGAAGGCACACTTCACTTTGATTTACCGGTTTGATATGGGAATAATGGTTCATTTGCTGCAAAGTTCTTCTGTTTTACTCCTTATTTTGCTGTCAATTATTAGTATAAACCCTCTTTGCTGTGGTGAACACCCTGCTGCCGTGCGTAAAACCCGTCAGATTAAAAAGCAGCTCGACCCCTTATCTAAATTTGCCATACCTGGCTCAAAATCGTTCCTTAGAACCCCTAAAACGTCCCCGCACGGTGCATCAACTGACAAAATTATACTAGACATGGCTTCATCTTCTACCCAAGACTCAAATAGGTCTGAGTTAGCCGAGGAAATGGATTTTGGTGACGTGATTATAATGTTTTTCTTTATATCGGGTCTTGTCATCAATTTACTCGCATTTTTCATAGCTCTAATTTTTTTCTGGAACACCCCAATCATTAGACGTTTTATAGTCAATATGATCAGTGCAGACTTGATGCTGCTGATCACTGGGTTTTACCTCAAGTTCAAAAGAGTGTTCCTACTAGAAAGTGTCGTATCGTGTAAAATGGTTTTCACTTCTGACATTGCTTTACTGCATGTTTCCTGTTATACAATTGTGCTTATTGCTTTCTATAGGTATAGCAAACTGTTTCCGGTTCAAGTTGGTCCCCATTCTCTCGGTCATTTTTTCTCAAAACCAAAGTTTCTCTATCTAACTTTTCTCATTTTGTGGATGATACCATTTATTATTGCATCGCCAATGGCGTATTACTCGACCTTCGATTCGGAATTAATGAAATGTGATTCTGAAATGCCATACGACTTCCAAACATTCTACAATCTGCTCACGTTTCTATCCAGTTATGTCATTCCAGGAATCGCAGTGACGTTTCTCTACTCGCGAATTATAAGCAAAACCCGATCGGCTATTTCGATGTCGGTTAATAATTCGGATGAGACGAGTCGACATGTGAACATGATGCGCTTTCTGACCTATGTAGTGCTGGCGTTTTGGATCCTTCATTTGCCATTTTGGTGTTGTAATCTGGCAAGCACGTTTGAAATCAACGAGTTCCCGCGGACCTTCCTCCATTTTTCGATAATTCTGACCTACGTCAATGCAGCCCTCAATCCTTTCCTCTACGCACTTCTCAGTGTCGACTGTGCTCGATGTTCCTGTTCATGTATCGCCGATTCATTAATCTGGGAACCCATCAGATGTCTCATGTTTCTTTTCTGCTCCTGTGATCCAACTACATCACCCTCAATGAGCTCGCAGAGTAACCAGAATAATCTAGACCAAGGAGATCAAGACGATGATGGAGAAGTTGGTAAAAACATGGGGACAAAAACTACAAAAGAAGGCGCGATTACAACTGAGAAACAAGGCGACGGCCCCCAGAGTCAACCGCCCTTCTCCTATCATGATTTAAAAATAAAATTCAACGAAGATGAGATCATTTGAAACAAAAAAAAATCATAACAAAACATGCTTTTTGTGTTCTATTATGTATTTTATCTCATCCATGTATTAGATTCAGGGTTGCATTGATAACAATCCTTTCTAGTAAATGACGTTTTCAACGTTATTAACTGTTAATAATGGTAAAATTTGAAAACTTTGAGCAGTGTACCAAACACTGAATTATATTCAATGAGATTTCAGTCGTATCTGTACAAAACAGTCCCATACAAAACAGTTCAATACAAAACAGTCCGGAAAAGTATGAAAATGAACGAAAAAACAGTCCGATACAAAACAGGCCGAAAAACAGTCCCAAGTAATAATTGTTTCAACAAGTCGTAGGCCGAGAAGTGACCTTTGTTCTACAAACATAACAAAGAAAATAGTGGCCGCCGCAGTCGCACCAACGTGTTGCGAGCTTGTTATCAGAGGGTAGGACTCAATACGAAATTTAGAGCCGGTTATCGCGGCGACGCGCACCCACCGGTGACCTTAAACCGGACTGTTCTGTATTGGACTGTTTTTTCCTTCTTTACATGATTTTTTGGACTATTTTGTATTGGACTGTTTTGTTTGAGACTGTTTTGTATATGCACCATTTCAGTACAGGTAGCTATAAAGCTATTTTCCCAACTTTTTTCCGAGTCAAGGCGGTTTCTCAGGTCCAAGTGGACGAAACTCATTGTAGAAAACGCTCTCTAACCCTGCTTTATCTGAAACGAGTCAGTTTATAAGTAGTAAATAACCCCTATGGTTAAATAACGTCAAATAGCAGTGTTATTAACTGTGTAAATAACAGGGGTGTTATTAACAAAGCAACCCTGATTAGATTCAATTGTGCTTATATTTGAAGTATTACTGTTTTTGTTTTATAATAGTGAAACAAACCTAATTTAATCTACGCGAAGTGATTTATTCAGAGCTTTGGAACATTTTTCAGCTTTTTACATTTCTATATATTAATTGAAAGAATCAATGTAGCATCAGGCCTAATGTTTAAGAGGCTATCGAGCGCAACGCTTAAAACAAGAACTCGGCTTTGTTCAATTTCAAGGCTAGGCAGTACCTGACTACTTTTTTTTCTCCAAAATTTAATATATTCATTTAGTGTGAATAGAATCAACCGAAAACAGCAATTTTCAAGCTTCATAGCATGAAAAGCTTGGTTAAGAAAAATTCATTGCTTGATTCGCTCTATGAAATAGCTTGAATTATCAAAATTGAAATCAAAAATTGAATCACTTGTAATCAAAATTGAATCACTTGAATGACTTCAATAGAAAACCCAAATTTTTCCCCTTAGCAATTCGCTTCATGAATTGTCTTGACATTTTAAATTTTCATTGCTTGAATAATTTGCATAGGGAAACTTTAACTTTATGCAAATTGATTCGATCTAAGAAACAATTTGGGATTTTTCGATGTTCATCGCTCGAATAATTCGCTCAGAGCAATTTTAATTTTTGCCAAAACGCTTTTTTAAGAAACAACTTAAAATATTTCAAATTGTCATAGCTTTAATAGATTGCTAAAAAACTTATTTCTCTCGAACTGATTCTTACTATAATATAACTTGAATAATTTCAAAGTTTCATCGCTTGATTGACTTCAATAGAAAAGCTCCGATTCGCTGCATGGCACAACTTCATAGCTTGAAAAGCTTGCTTAGAATTACATATTATTTTAACGAGCGAGCTTTAGCGAGAGTCGTTTAACAGTAGGAGTGTTCTTTTATGTCCAACCTAAGTAGAAAATATTGGTGCCACTTTGTGTGGCACCTTGCGGTTTTTTGATATTATGTGCTTTGACTTTCGATTAGTTATAAGTCAACACAATTGGTGCATTTTTAATTCATCGAAAGAACCCAAAACACTGCTCTTTCAAGGCACAGTGAAATCACAAAACTTTGAAATGCGTACAACTTATAACTTAAACATACAACTTATAACTTTACATGTAGCTGCTTTATAAATGGCTAGTGGTTTTTAATAATCAGATTGCGTCTAGACCAAATAAAAAGTTTGCCTTTTGCTCTAGTTTTCTGATATTGGGTTAGTTTTATCAAAAATGTGTCAATCATAAATTGTTCTAGAAATTCAAAGAACTTTAATGTCATCTATTTTTTTGAATTTCGAAGGCTTTTTCATTTTTAGAGCTGCGTTTGTCTTTTTCTCGCTTGTGTTTGTGAAGTTCAGCCTCGTCTCTGTGTTCTAGCAAAACACCAAACAGTGGCCCCTCGCCTTCCCAATTAGACTTGAGAGTGGGTAAGATAGTGGACGTCAAACAGCACCCGGATGCAGACTCGCTCTTCGTGGAGACTGTGGACTTCGGACCAAGTGGAGCTGAAGGTGAAGAGGGAGAGAGGAGGACTATTGTGAGTGGACTTGTAGGAAGAGTCCCAATCGAACAGCTACAAGTCAGTACATTTTGGTTTCGGCACGGTGACAATTCGGCGCAGGCGACACAATTGGTCGTAAGCGACAATAGCCGCAATTAAAAAAACGGCAGTTGGTCGCAAGGAATTATAATGAAGATTAATTGGTTATTAGTTCCGCAAAACAATCCCATACCCGCTATGGCAAGTCCATGTGGTTGCTAAGTATTGCTTAATCAGGTTATTTACACAATTAATATGGAAAATTGCTCGGTCACGAATTGTTGCTTTTTAAATGCTACAAATTGTCGCCTGCAAACATTTGTTTTGAGATGAATAGTCGTCTAATGATTATTTGATATTCACAGGCTAAAGTTATTTGTAATCTGTAACATTTTTGGCTTCCTTCAGCTTATGAAAACTGTCTGTTGGATTTTAACATTATTCGGCGAGGTAAATGAGATTATTTTTGTCACAGTCTGTTAAAATCGATGCTTAAACTTGCCAGTGGAATGCTTTTCTCTTGCTTCTAACTTGTTTAATTCTTACTTGGGAATCAAAGAAAGATTTTTCTTGAAAAAGTAATTAACTCAGTTTATGATTTAGCCTCACCTTTCGTACTCAATCTTTAAGTACGCGAATGTCTATTAACTTCAGGGTCTTCTGGCCGTGTTTGTATGCAATCTGAAACCAGTGAAAATGCGAGGCATCGAATCCCAGGGAATGCTGCTGTGTGCAGTGAATGAGAACGGAACAGAGCCAGTGCCAGCACCTCCCAATGCACTTCCAGGGGACCCAGTATTGATATCGGGACATGAGCGAAATCCAGATGAAGTGCTCAATCCAAAGAAGAAAATATGGGAGGCACTGCAAGTTGATTTAAGCAGCAACGAGACGGGTGAGGTGTTGTGGAAAGATTATAACCTAATATGCACAAGCGAAGAGACAAAAGTGAAAGTTGAAAAAGTGTTCAATGCTTCGATCAGGTGAACTGAAATTATTGAATTGCCTTTGGTCAACAATCTGATCTTAATATGACTTGATGTATGAAAAATTTTGATATTTAAATGCTGAACGTTTGTACATAAACATGCTTTTTGATCTTCGTTGAATAAGAATTGAGTCTGAAATTTAATTTTTATTTAACATTCTCGTTTTTCACATGTCGAAAAATAAATTAGAATATTATTAGCAGATTGCTGTGCAAATCGAGCAGAAGGTTCAGGCCACCGTTTCAATTGCCAAAAAATAGCTATGTCTATCTATCTATCTCTCTGCCTACCTATCTATCTATCTATCTATCTATCTATCTATCTATCTATCTATATATCTATTTATCTATCTATACTATATTTAAATGCGTGTGACATTTATCTTGCCATGCTTAATCGTGTTTATTGCATCGGTCAAGCGCTTAACTTATCTATGTATAGTTAAGCTGTATGGTGTACTGCATTGCTTAAGATTTTTTTTCGATTTTCCAATTTATGAATGATAGGCCATTTGGACGGCCTGAGTGTAAGGCGTTTGCTATGATGCCAGTATAAGAAGCGAGGAGGAGGGCAGTGTAGGGTAGTGTAAAGTTAGGATTCGTCGATCTATGCTTAATGTAACGTTTTTTCGTTTCAGCGTATATTTAGTATCCGAGATGTGACGTTTAATTTTTCAAAAAAAAACAAGATTTGGAAAAGTTTCTAAGTTTGAAATTTTCAGCTCTATATGATCGATTTCAGCTCGATTTTTCAATGATTTTGTTAACAAAAGATTCAAAAAATTAGATAAAGCAAAGATTTAAAGATTAGGAAATTCTCACTTGCATAGTGGAGTGCTGCCAAGGTGCTCTCAGGAGGCTTATATCGGGCCTTCAAATATGTTTATTGCTTGTTAGTTTCCGAGATATGGAATTTCTACGATTTTTCAAATTTTTTTACATTTTAAAAACTTAGATAAAAAACCATACGAAAATTGAAGCTGTCGTCTTTTTGGTGGATCATATCAAGCCAATCCCAGCAGCAACAGATATAGCCTCCATGCATAGGATTGCTGAAACTCGTATTGTTATCGAAATATGTCGTGCTTTTTGGTATTTCAGTTTTTTCTTAGAAATTTAGATTAAAAAAATCAAATTTTAAAAGTCTTGACTCCATAGCGGGTTAATACTAAACGACTCACAGAATTGGACATGTGTTCTCTAAGTTTTACTGCTCAGATCCTGTCGGTCTTCAAAATTTAACGTTTGTTTTAAAGATTTCGAAAAGATTTTTTTAAATTTCATTAAACAAGATTTCTTTTCAAAAAAGTGTTTTTTTTTCGAAATGATAGCGCATGTTTAAAAAGTTAATTGCAACAAAAATTAAATTTGGGATTAAAAATCAACTAAATTATATATGAATCTAAATGATGCATTTATTGACCTTACCAATAGAATCGTTTCAGAAGTTTTTTAACATGTGAAAAGTGGAATTGTATGCTCTCGGCCAATTTGGGGTTTTTGACTTAATACGAAGTTCTGAAACTAGAAATTTTTATATTAGAGAAAAATCTATTTTTTTTTATAAAACAGTCCGAAATTTAAATTGTTTTATTTTCAATTTGTGAAATACAAAGGTTTGGATGCACACTTCTTACGGTTGCATTTAATTTCACTGTTTTTCAAATATCTTATAAATAGACAATTATCACATTCATCAATCAGTTTGAAAAATCTGATATTCAAAATAGTTGAACTTTTCAAAAATGATCATTTAGTTTTGCACTGTTCACCTTAACTGTCGTTTAACTTTATATTGTAGTATGTTTGCCAAGATCTTTGTTCGCCGAAGCATCTTTGCTGCGTTTGGTGCGCTAGTTGAAATTAAATTCCGGTCTCGTATATATTGCAGACAAGTTGAGTACGCTAGTTGAAATTAAATTTCGGTCTCGTAATCATTGCAGAAAATCTGTGCGAATTGTAAAAGTCTTCTGATTTACGCTTGCATCGAATGCAAATTATTGCCGAATAATTATTGAAAAATTACGCATGAGGTTATTGTATAAAAACTACGAACAAGAGAATAATAATTAATTTGGTCAACAATATGCCACCGGTTCAGTATTGGCCAGTTTTTGAGATGAAAGCTCTGACTTTCTTTCGAAATAATAAATTTAGACAATTGTGGAGATAGATGGTAATCAGTTTTTACAAGAACAGTAATTTTCCACTATTTGCTTTTTCGAGGTTTGACTTTTGCTTTTTGGTAAAGCTTAGAATGAAATCGCTTGATAAAAGGAAGGCAAAAAAAATCTCAAATTTCAAAAGCAACTTGATCGAGAAAACGAAAGTATAAAGCTATTGTGAAAACCAGAATGGCTTTTAGTTTTAAAAGTGGATTTAAATTAAAGATTTCGCAGAAAAAAAGTTACTCATTGATTCAGTTTTCTCAAAATTGGTTAGCATTAATGTTAAAGTGTAAATAACGCAAAAATCACAAATTCAATGAGTCTTAAGTTTAATTTTTTCTTCGAAAAAGTATCAACACTTTTCATTCACTTTTTTTGGTAGTCATGAAAATAATGACAATATTCCAACTCACTGCTAGCAATAATTTACTTCTCAATTAAGTATTTTGTTTTGCAGTTATTTCATGAAGCAAACTATCTCATTTCAATTAATTGAGAAAAAAAATAAAATGTAGCTAAGCATGAAATTATTAACTTCTCGTAATGTGAAAAACTAGTTAAATGCAATGGCAAGGGTAGCTTTCATATTCACTTACTGTGAAACATATATTTTTAAATTTAATTCTGATGCCAATTCTTTTCTCAGCTTGGGAATTCAAATTCGATGTTTGATTACGCATGCAAAATTACACATTCAATGATCTGATTATGGGTGTCTTGTAATAAAGAATAAATTTTTTCGGTAATCAACCTCCTTACTGACATACTTTACCTGCTTTTCTTATTTGTTGTTTTATTGAAGCTTAACTACTTTTTTTAACTTTGCTGAAATTTTGCCGTCAAACTCTAGCCCGAAAGTCAAGGGTTCTAGTCGAGGTCGAACCCGATTTTTTTCAGTATATGCAGAATTGAATTTTTTTCCGGTAAAAAATGAATCATCGGTCTGTGGATCGTCTGCTCAAATTTTATCGTATTGTTTGCTACATCACGGATTGTTCTTGTATTGTAAGCAGCTTTCATTGTAGTTGCAAAAGCAAGCGTTGTTATGTTTTGACCAGAGGGACTTCAAACTTTTAAAAAGTTTGATAAAATCATATTTTTCCGACTCAACTATGTCTGCTCCATGATTGTCGGCTTGTTTTTTCTTCCTAAGTTTCGTTCCGTTGTTAATTCAAAATTCGAAAGTCTGGCAATTTTGCGCACAATAAGCCTCGATTGTGACATGTTAAATTTTAAGTTTCGATAGACTTTGTTTTTTTCAGCATTTCTCAATTTTCTTCGACTTATGTTTTTTTTTGTTTCTGTTATATCGCAAGTGATGCAAAATTGCGCTTCGCTTCTGTGTTACACTTGCATAGTAAGTGTATTGCGACCAGTTTTCAGACCTTTTTGCCGCAAACAATTTTGTTCACAAGACTCATCTCCTGGAATTTGTTGAAATAACTGCAACAAACCTGTTTTGAGCCTAATAGTCTTTTAAAAATCCGTTTCATTCAAGCTTTGCTTTTTAAATTAGTGGTAATTTTACTAGCTTGATTTGTTTTTTTTTGTTTTACAGAAAACTTAAGTTTTATCAAATCAATTTTTTTTTTCGAATTAAAATGTTTCGGCGTATCTTATATCAACTTAGTGGTCTCATAATGCGTTCTTTGATGACCAAAATTACTTTTTGTGCATGTGTGTTATGAAAAAAAGAGAGAGTTGAAATTTTTTTATTAGTTTCATTTTCATAAGTTTTTTTGCCTCAAGAGTTAGGGTTTCCGCTCAAGTATTGTTGGTTTTTTACGGCTTGGTAAGTTTTATCCAATGCTAACTTTACATGAAACTGTCGAGGCTTGTTTTTTTTCAAAATTAATTTTATCTTTCTTGACAGATCTAAATTTTTCAGAATTTTCTATTTTGCATTGGTATATTTTCTGTTTTTCGACTTTTTCAATATGATTTGAAAAATTTTGATTTCCTGAGCTTAAATTTGCTATTCAACAATTTTAAATTTGATCGATGTGGGATAATTATACACAGCAATTTACCAGTTTTCTATTGGTGCGATATATATGTGCGGTGCATTTGCGAGGGATTGAAAATTCTAGAAAAGTTTTAATCTGTTCATGTTCATTTTTTTGAATAGATTCAATTCAATTTTGTCTTGAATACCACTTGGATTTATGTAATGAAATTTTGCTTTCTGCCATTTTAGACCAAGTAATTAGATTTGTTTCGAGTTTTTTAAATGCATGTTTTTGTTTTCATCCAATATCTTCCCGATGCGTTGTAATTGATATTTTTATTAACATTTTACTTTTTTACATTGCAAACTTTACAACCGCGTACAAGACTTACTCCTCGCAAATTTTGCTCACAGGACTCATCTCTGCGTGAAATACTGCAACAGACTTATTTTTGAGCAAATTTATCCGTCCTATTCATAATTTACTTATATTGTTGGGTGCTGTTATACTAATTTGATTTAAAAAAATTTTGTCTCTTCTTTCTTTTTCTTCTACTTCAGCTTAAGTGGTTCTTTCCAAACGTATATCGGTTTAGTGGTCTCACAACGTATTGCGTTGTCATTTAATGATTGAAATGATTTGTGTGGGCGTGTGTGTGAGGAAGACGGGGATTTAAAAATTTTTTGAAGTAGTTTTAATTTTTTTCGGGAATGAATTATTTCTGCTTAGGCATTTTGCGGTTTTTTTATTGCTTGGCTTATTCGTTTTGATAGATCTAATTATAAAAAATTTCATTTTTATGACTTTTTTTCAATTTTATGAACTTTTCTTAACTGTTCTCGTATTGTTTCGCAAGTAGTGCGAAGCTTTGCTTCGACTCTACGGGGCAGTACAACAGTGCCGAAGTACAACAGTGCCGAAAATGAAAACTTTGTTCAACAATGCCGAAAATTTGAACAAGTTTCAACATATTAAGTGCGGCAATCAAAAATTAAACAGCGATCGTTTACAAT